CTATGACTTGCTAAAGAGAATCCACCACCCACAGGGAAATAAGCCTAAATCCACCCATGTTAACGCGGCCTATATAGTAGCAAAGTATTTGATACCAGAAGTTATTTTTAGTCAAACTGTTAAGAGGATTCCAATAAATAATAAAACCTCAGTAATATTAGACGCACAAAATGTATGGAACATATTCCTTTTTAACAAGTGGGTATTACTCCAATTCCTGTTAGCCAACAACCATTCTTTGTTCACTTACAGTAATTCAAAAATGTTCCCACAAGGCAACAGATTTCTATGGAAGTATCTCTTTCCCTTGTGTCAGCTGCCCATGAAATGCGTATTACTCCAATTTCTTACAATGCCCTTCCTGAAGAATATAAATATAAATCCTATTGCGCGCACACATTTTATTAGATGACATTAAGACTTAAAAACAGTAAGCATAATTGTTTTCTCACGCAAAAGCCTCTACAGCGAGAGGAGAATTTTGTTCAGTCAAAGCTGTTTCTGTTATTAAAGCAAACTTCTCGTCACTGAAATGAAGAATGTGCATTGTTGTACATATGTTATAGCCATTGGCATGATGAATATTGAGCATTAATTTATTTTTTTTGTTTCACTTTGAAGTGAAATGCTCTGATCACATTCATGTTACATAGATTTTTTCCCCCCTCACAGTATGTCAGCCTTGTATGATATTTCCAGATTTTGGAGCTAAAATTAATAAATTGAACCTTTCATAACTAACTGCATACCAGACTCCACTTTTATTGCAAGGAAATAAATCTGTGTTATTCTTCATGTTATTCTCACAAAAACGCACAGAAATTATCAAGCTTTCCTCAAAGGATAGTCGTGAGGCTTTACAAATGGTTTTCAACTACATTTCCGCTCGACACACAGAGGGTTTGTCCAAGGACGGAGAAAATGAATGTTCTGAATTGGTCTGCTGAAACAGAGCAACAAAAAAGGTATTCAAAGACCTCCTTTAATTAAAGAAGTGACAAAACGGGGATATTTGGCCAAAAAGACCATGAAACAGCCAGGCTTTTTGTCATATTCCATCTGAGACTATGGATAGAGAACATGTGGCCCTCTGGGTGTTGGACTACAGCTCCCAATCACCAATGCTGGGAGATGTTGTCCAATTATATTGAGAGAGCCACAGTTACCCAGAGCCACCCTATAACAGGCCCAAAGTACAATGAAGGCATTTTAGAAGGTTCCAAATGGGGTAAATGTGCAACATCTCCCAAACCTCCTTATGTCCTTTCTACAATTCATGACTCCCAGAAAAGCAGAACATAATGAGGGAAAGCAACAAAGGTACTAAGAAGATGGTGTACTAGACTAGAGGCTCCATGTGAATAACTCACTAATCTTAATTATGGATGACTAAAATGCGTATATTGGTTCCACAAATATGTGTTGTTGTTATATATATATATGAATGATAATATATATCTTATCTTATACACCATTTTTTCATAGAATTATAGAGCACTAGCTTTCCCCTGCCACACGTTGCTGTGGCCCAGTTTGTGTAGATGTGTTTTGTGTGTGTATGTATGTGTATATGTGTATATATGTGGTTTTACAAATGCGCTGTAGCGTCTTTTTGATTTTTTGGCTTTTTAAGTCCCTTCTGCTGTGTTTTTCAGTGTTTTTATGAGTGATGGTCACTTGTTGGCCTGATAGGTATATTGTGTCCAAATTTGGTGTCAATTCGCCCAGTGGTTTTTGAACATTACATTTTTATTTATATAGATTGCAGCACACCAAAATACCTGAGAGTTACTCTGGACCATGCTCTGACTTACAAAAAGGACTGTTTGATTATCAAACAAAAAGCAGGCGCTAAAAATAGTATCATACAAAAGCTGACTAGCACAACCTGGGGTTCACAACCAGATACAGTGAAGATACAGCCCTTGCGCTTCTCTACTCTGCTGCTGAATACACATGCCCAGTGTGGAACACATCTCACCACATTAAAACAGTGGATGTCGCTCTTCATGAGACATGCCTCATTATCACAGGATGTCTACTCCCTACACCACTGGAGAAATTATACTGTTCAGACAGCATTGCACCACCTGATATCTGCCTGGAAGTAGCAGGCAATAATGAAAGGACTAAGGCAGTGACATCCCAGGCCAATTCCCTGTTTGGATATCAGCCAGCACGCCAATGGCTTGAATCAAGAAATGGCTTTCTAAGATCTAGGAACAGCAGAGCAACCAAAAACCCAAAGGTGGCAGGCTAAAACTCAGAACCTCAATATGTAGCTGAGACTAGATCAGAAACTCCCTCCTGGGCACACAGAAGGCTGGGCGACTTGGAAGGCGCTGAACAGGCTGCACTCTGGCACCACAAGATGCAGAGCTAATCTTAAGAAATAGAGCTACAAAGTGGAGTCGATGACATGCAAATGTGGAGAAGAGAAAATCACAGACCACTTACTACAGTGCAGTCTGTGCACTGCCACATGCACAATGGAGGACCTTCTCACAGCGACACCAGAGGCACTCCAAGTGACCAGCTTCTGGTCAAAGAAAATCTAGTATAATGCCAAGTTTTTAACTTTGTTTGCATTCTTTTTTAAAATACATTATCACTGTATCCTCATTTTGCTTCTGACACGATAAATAAAAATAAATGATAATGTCTAATTAGAGAGGTAACATTCTGTATGGTTTGAGCTCTGAGCTATGATTCCAAGATCAGGTTCGTAATCCCACTCAACCATGGAAACTCACTGGATGATCTTGGGCGAAGTAATGTTCTCTTAGCCTCAGACTAATGCAAAAAAGCAAAGCCCCTCTGAACATATATTGCCAAGAAAACCCTGTGAAAGGTTCAGAAACAACTTGAAGGCACACAAAAATAAGAGCAGACGTCTAACTGCATGGTCATCTATGCCCTTTGTTTAAGGTTTGGAGACATTCGCTCTTCAGACGCTTTAAACTAACTACAAGCTCCATTACCCTTCATCATTGGCTATGTTAGTTAGGGTTGAAAAAATCCTCAAGCCAACAACAGTTGCCCACTCCTCATTTAGAAAAATCTGGAATTTGATTAGCAGGAGCTTGCGTGACTGAAAAGTATGTCAATCTGTCAAGTTCAGTTCAGTCATCTCAGAGCAACTGATGAAGACAAAACAGCTGGTGACAGGTGGCCAGGAAGGCAGAAAGCGGGAGATAAAAAGCCAGAAACGGCTGAACAAAGCTTGAAGCATACAAACCGGCATCAGAAGCTGAAGGTTGTGTAAAGACTGAAAGGCAGGGTAGAAATGACTGAGGAAGAATACAGCTGGACAAGATCTATGTGTATGGAGAGGGAAATCTCCCAGGGTACTGTATATTATTAAAAGCAGAATGGCGAGCAAGGGGAACTTGAGAAATAAGGGTTTGCTAGACAAAAAGAAGTTCAATGAAGCAGTCTGGAGAGAGGATCATAGGGTATTTCAGGAAACAGTAACCCAAAGGACTATCATCCTAGCTATTCAGTAAAGTAAATGTGTTCGAAAAATGCACATGTGAGTAGATCAATAGGTAACAGTGCTCCATGCAGTCATACTGGCCACATGACCTAGGAGGCATCTAAGCCAGTTCTTTGGCTTAGAAATGGAGATGAGCACCACTCCCGAGTTGGACTCAACTAGACTTAATGTCAAGGGAAAAGCTTTACCTTTACCTTTAGAATGCTTTTTAAATTATTATGTTGTGCTATTCTTTCCCTTGGAAAGGCAATATAAAAATAGCTAAGTTGATATAAATAATGTAGAGTAGCAACGTCTCTTGATGGAAACTTTTTTGTTTAAAAGCATGCTACTTCAGAAGATAACCACACTGAACACAAAATACCAGAGATTGTAATGTTGTGTCGTAAGAACAAGATACAAAATCCATATGTAGATAATGCATATAATAAAGCCAACAGTAAATCCCATAATGGTATATGAGCTTTTGAATTCTGAAGATCTCTTCAACGGGTTCTTTTCCCCCCTACTATCTAACCAAATGAAGGTATCTGAAGAATGCCAGATCTTGCGTTCCGTTATGAATTTGTCACCATAAAGGTATTCCCGTCTATTAATTTTGCCTTTAAAAACTAAGAAATTGTCATTATCACTACCACTCACGTTTTTAAAAAGTTGGCATGTTTATAATAATGTACATGGTTGGCTCTGCAGAGCCAACCTTAAGAAATGGGGCCACAAAGTGGAGTCCACAGCATACGAGTGTGGAGAAGAGCAAACCACAGACTATCTATTACAATATAATCTGAGCCCTGCCACATGCACAATGGAGAACCTCCTTATAGCAACACCAGAGGCACTCCAAGTGGCCAAGGACATTTAGTATAATGCCAAGTTTTTAAAATTTTGCGTTTTTTAAATACATTACAACTGTACCCTCGGTTCGCTTCTGATACAATAAAATAACGTACATTCTGTTCTGTTGAAATTAAATATAATTTTTAAACGTTTGCATTCTTAGAGCCTAACGCATTAATATTTCTTATAAATATAAAAGAACCTGACAATTTGGTTAACCACCTAGAAACCAATCTACATCCTTGACTAGACTGCATGTATACATAGACGTTGCATGGACGTTCGATGACAAATAACCTGTTTCCTGATCTATGGCTTGCTCAGACATCATGCAAAAGCCTTGTCCTCCAGGAAGAAAAACAACCTTTTTAAATCAAGCAATATTCCCAAAGTCCATTTCCCTCAGCCCCATATCATTCAAAAACTAATGCAAAACTGACATGGTTTCCTTGCAATCATCTCAACATGAAAGAGTAAAATTAAAAAGAGACATGCACCTATGGAAAGAATAAAATCACTGTGTATGGTATTCTGAAACCTGAGATTGCCATAAAGATCTGGCTGTTCCAGGCTGTTTAAAGTTAAAATTGTACATGATAAATTGCTCTTCTGAGAGTAACATGAAAACAGAGTATTCAGCAGAAAGATTAGGAACTTTAAAACATACCTGAATTGGAGTCAAACTTTGTTTCTGATCTGAGGGACAAGAGAGAGGAGGGGGATATGTTAGTTAAAGTAATACTTTAGGTAAATAGTAAGACGCAACACCTATACATCTCTGCTTTAATGAAATTTGTTCTCAAATACACATTTTTGTTGTATTTTCACATTTACAACATTATCCATGATCATTTTATTTACAAGACTGGTAAAATCGGCATGGAAAACAATGGATCATAGCTGTGTATAATTAATCATTAAGTTTTAAACATTTATTTATTTTTATGAAGAGTATTTTATGTGGATAGTGATATCAATGCACATGTTTACACATCCTCACCACACACATACACCAAGAAATAAATGCACAAGTTTCCCTTACGGAGGTTGAAAATTCAGCCTCCTCATGAATTCCTGCCAAACAAGAATATATGCAAAACATACTAGTACTACCAATTGTCTGCTTAATGTGTTATTTAACCTGTTTAGCATAACACAAATGAACTCAGTAGGCTGTGTACTTAATAATGAGGTGGAGGGGGAAAGGGGGGAAATTAGCTTTTGTGGGAACATCATGTTCCAGATATAGCGTAATAATAGTTCTAAACTCCGAAGCCTTTGAAGCTCGCAGTTCAGCTGTGGGAAAACCTAAGTTGGGTAATTACTTTCGAGATGCTGCTGAAGTGCTGTCAAGCAGAATTAACCCTATGACTAGGCCTATCTGAACAAATAGCTAGAAGCAGCATTGTCTAGATCTAACTCTCAAACCAATTAGCGGGCATGCTCCAACCAGACATATATCACAAATTAACAACCTCTGTGCTTTGTGCGTGTGTGTATGTGTATATATATTATATACATTCACAGCTGCCACTGCAAGATACAAGAACCGATCAGCGGGATTCTTTGTCAAAGATGTTACTTTAGTCAGGGAAATGTGCCCAAATAGAGTGGGAAATGGCAGGTTCCTTTAACCCATGAGAAGATATTGATGAGTTTGGCAAATTATACACATCTTTCACTAAGCACAGGTTACATACTGCTGGTGTGCAGAGCATAGAATAAACTTAGAGCAAGGTGAGGCTTTGTAGTGAACTCTGGTCCACTTCATGCTCACTGGAATATTGGATAATGATGAAAAAAGCCAGAAAATAACAACAGGTTAAAAGAAAATGAGGAGAGGGAGAGGGGATATGTGAAAAATGACCTCTTTGTTAGGCAACTATTTTTCAAAGGGAAGTCTTCCATATGGCTTCGAAGTACAACAGGGCAAAAAGAAATTTTCTTCCACCAGAAACAAATTCTAATGGTGCTCAACAGAGTCTATCGGCAGCATGAATCAAAGAGTTAATCTCCATTACAAATGAGCACCCTTACGCTAAAGGGTGCAATACTGCCAAACAAAGGCACTTATGGGTCGGTGCGTAAGTGAGTTTCTGAAACCCAGCAGGCATATCATATGGATAGAAATTTCCAGGGTTTGGGACATTTATATTATTGGACTATAACTTGCAAAAAAATTCCACTCTAGCCAGAGGGATCTTGTAGCACCTTGGACACTAACTGAGAGAAAGAAGTTGGTGACGTTTCTCTCCATTAGCCTTAGGGCCCTTCCAGACAGGCCCTATATCCCAGGATCTGACCCCAGGTTTTCTGTTTATCCCAGATTATCTGGTAGTGTGGACTCAAATAATCCAGTTTAATGCAGAAAACCTGCGATCTGCTCCTGGGATATAGGACCTGTCTGGAAGGGCCCTAAAGGTGCTACAAGATCCACTTACATACTGATCCAGACTATCATAGCTATGTCTTTAAATTCTATCTAGAACAGTGGTTCCCAACCTTATTTGACCAGGGAACACTTTGACCTGGGACCACTTTAACAGGGACCATTTGACTAGGGACCACTCTCCAACATTAGTACCAAAAGGGTTACGAATCAGTTTTTGGTCAACTTTAGATTTGGTTTGGTTATTTGGGGTGCTGATTCAGAAAATTGAATTGAATAGACCACATCAGCTCTAATTTCTGATACAGAACATATGCCAACCATTAGTTGTCATCTGCTCACCCACAGAAAAGCATATTTAATAATCTAGAACTGTGGACGTTATTTTAAGTCTTGTGGCCCACAAGTTGGGAGCCACTGATCTAGAAGGATTTATCAGTCCGTTACTACTGATGAATCATCACAAACTGCATCCTGCACAATCATAATCAGGATTGGTGATGGATCCTTGGGTCTATCAAATTTTATTTTACATGTTGAGCATAATTCTTCCTTTTGTAGAAAAATCTTGCTAGCCATTTCACTAGCAGCTCGTCCCATGCATCAGCTTTGACTGTATAATTGTACTATAAATGGCTAACTTTGGTTAGCTATTTTTCTTTCCAAGTTATTTTATGATGGGGAAAACTATAGCCGACATGTTTGGTCAGCATGCTGAAACAACATGATTGAAAAATTGTCAGATGTTTTGTTAAAAGATGTGGCAATGAATTTTGCCAGTGTCTGTAAGCCGCCTTGAGTCCCCTGGGGGTTGAGAAAGGCGGGCTATAAATGAAGTAAATAAATTATAAATAAATAATGAAACTTAACACAGGGAACACTAAGGAAGTAAGTAGAGGTAGGCGGTTTGGAAATAACAAAACAGGAAGAGGGGGTGAATCCTAAAATACATTTGGAAAATAAGGCAAAATCCAAAGTTAATGTGTATAAATTTGTATTTATAAATAAATACCTCAATTTATTAAAATGTACATATAAACAAATACATGTAAATACATCCAAAAACGAACAGATATCTATTTAAGCTTTCAAAATGTTAAGATCTCTTCATCACAAATGTTACAAAATGAGGTAAGAGGAAGTGATGGAATAACAGATCTTTAAAGTCATGTCATAACACGCCGTGTTGCGGCGAGTCCAGGCTTTCAAACAGAGTTGATCACGTATTATACTTCATCTAGAACACTACTTTGAGTCTTGACCTAAAAAGAGGTCTTCTTAGCTGAAAGTTGGAATCATGAAAAATTTGACAACATTTACACAAATTTATTAGTAAGATTGTGCTAACAGTGGGCTTTACAGAAATTAGGTTCTTGTGGGGTTTTTCGGGCTATAGAGCCATGTTCTAGAGGCATTTCTCCTGACGTTTCGCCTGCATCTATGGCAAGCATTCTCAGAGGTAGTGAGGAATCAGAGGAATCCTCACTACCTCTGAGGATGCTTGCCATAGATGCAGGCGAAACGTCAGGAGAAATGCCTCTAGAACATGGCTCTATAGCCCGTAAAAACCCACAAGAACCTAGTGATTCCAGCCATGAAAGCCTTCGACAATACATTTTTACAGAAATTGTTTCAACTGTACTTCACAAAAAGTAAATTTAGCCTGTTTAGCAAGCTTTACAAATGCTGATTTATTATCAGTATATGTTTGAATATTATGTCTATTTTACATATCTATATACCTGGGGCTGCATAAACATTTCTTGGGTGGAAAGGGCTCACAAGTGGAAAAAGTTTATGAAGCCCTGATCTAGAAAGAGCTTGCCAGGAACTTTTCTAACTTTTCTTCCTCTGCTTTGCATATTAAGCTGTGCAAAAATCAGAGTCAGGGGACCCTACTGCAGGAGCCAACTGGAGCCATGAAAGATGTCTCTGTCTGGTTTTTTTCATCCCCTTGAGATCTCTACATGTAAGATATTATATGCTTGGTAGTGTCATTGTTTTTACAAGCCATTTCTGTATCAACTCAGCAAGAGATACAAGCACTGTTTGGCATGTGTAGGTGCTGGCTTGAAGAGCTGTTGCAGCTGCACTTCCGGATTATCACAGTAAATGATTGCATTAGATGGTTTTCCTGCAAGTAGTATGTACAATACACATGGAATAGTTTTGCCTTGGCCTTGTATAACTTGCACATTTCAAAGTTCAGTACAAAAATTACATCTTAGGGGTAAGATTTACCAACTACTTTGATACGTTTATGGATTGGGACTGCAAGATTGAAATAGCTTAATTAAAATCAGGTTGAACAAAAAACACTGATTAATTAGAACAAGGGTAGGTATAAGACAGCCTGTTGCTGGCAAGAAGCAAATATTACAATTTTATTATTCTATTTTATGAGAATATTTTTGTTCTGGTAGAATCTAATGGGCTACTGAGGGCTCACCTACACAGCACCTAAAACACGGGATTTCTCGAGTTAAAAGGGGAGGTGGCTACATGACATTAGCACTAAATGCGCTCTGATTAACTGCAATAGCTGAATTGAATGCATATAGCACAGTAACAGCTTGCTACAATTTGTAAGGCCCAATTAATTCATTGTCACAATAAGCAGATTCTCCAAAGAAACTATGCATGTTTACTTCATTAACTTCTTCCTATTCAGGTATTGAGGTACATGGTTCACTTCCTTTCTTCTCTGCATCCTCTTTGGCTAAAATCATGTTGTTGTTGGATGCCTTCAAGTTCTTTCCAACATACAGCATCACTAAGGAGAATTTACCATTGAGCTAGGCTTAATTAAACACCCTGTTGACACAATGGGTTAAATCCTTGTGCTGGAAGGACTGCTGGTTGAAAGGCTGGTTGTTCGAATCCAGGGAGTGAGGTAAGCTCCCATCAGTCAGCTCCAGCTTCTCATGTGGGGACACGAGAGAAGCTTCCCACAGAATGGTAACATCCTTGCAGATGGCTTTGAGTAATTCTCTCATACCAGAAGCAACTTGCAGTTGCAACTTGCAGTTTATCAAATCCCTTCTGATATGAAAAAAAATCCAATCTCCCCAAGTAAATTACAAGAAAATCTCCTCATTTCACATTGATCTGGGAATAACCCTTCAACTTCCAATCAGGAAAATATGTATGTGTGTTTGAATGATAAATTGTGATAGGTACATAATGCAAATGCATTATTATTATTATTATTATTATTATTATTATGCATTAAAACACATTATGATAAAATACATATATACTTGGTACAAATATTAAAAGAAATAGTAATAGAATGTAAATTTAAAATGCATGGTTTAAAATTGGGTTGGCATCACCATGGTCTGTCCCTAGCTCGCAGGTTTTGGCTAGGAAACATCAGGGCTAGGGACAACCTTAAACTGCCAAACCTAGATCATGTTGGTATAATTCAAAATAAAGATCTTGTTCTATCTTAACATCCCCTTACATAGTTCTTATATAACACTCAAGGATAATAAACAATCTTTATCTCATAGCTTCATTGCATCTACTTACTTAAACAAAGGAGTTCCACAAACAACACATTTGTATATTCCAGAATCTTTGTGATATGTGTATTCCCCTTCAAAAGCACTAGAATGGCAGAAAAAATACAATAATATTTTTAAAATTTAAGAAAACCTTGTTGGATTAACACATAAGTGGTCTGACAAATGGCAAACAACGTATTTTATGCAATCATTAGCAAATTTTATTTATTTATTTATTTACAACATTTCTACCCCACCCCTCAACCCCCAATTAAGTTACGCATGATTGTCCTATATTTTAAAATTTCCCCATTCAAATTTGAACATAAATGTTTCTTTCAAAAAAGTGAAGCTACCATTCAACTGACAAAGCATAGACTCACAAGTTATTAGACATATTTAAACCAGTTATTTAATTTCCACCTGAACATGAAGGTCACTTAAAAACAACATGTTACTCCTAAGCATCCTTCTAACTACTTTTTCAGACAGTATGTCTTAATTCTGATCTCTTGCATTAAACTATACATAAAGCATTAGTACATGAAACTTCTGGAAGATCGGACACCAAAACATATTCAAGTACCAAAAAATAAAATTGAACTGGGGGGCTGCCCATGATTTCAAGCTGTGTGCGCTCTATATTTTTATTTGAAAAGGAATATTACTGCTTTAAGGGAATATTTTTCTAAGTTAACAATCTTAAAGGCTAGGAGGTCATTCATCTAATACAAATCAGCTGTGCTACTTCAACAAAAAGTCTATGTGTTCTGCAGCTTGTTTTTATTATCATTTTGCCCTTTTGGGGAGGGATTTCTCATACACACACACACACACACACAGATTTTTTTTAATGACCTAATCTCTATTTGTTTTTATGCACTAAATCATAGTACTAAACATGTACACAATAGTAAATTCCTTCTGAGTTTGAAGGAACACCATTGCCAGCTGTTTCAGAGACACAAGCTACTTTGCTTCCTGTCATCCCCACCCAGAAAAATCTATTTAAAAGTCTACTCCAGTACGGAAAGGGTGGCCAATTCACTAGGACCCCACATGTGGCCAAAGGACCCTTTACAGTATTGTTTGAAATAGCAACAAGCTTACATCATGACTACTACTGGATCGGAAGCTGGATAAGGATTGGTTATACCTTCCGCAGTCAGAACAAAACACCCAAATAGTTTAGATCTTGGCAAAAGGTGACAACTTCTTAAAGCTAGATTCAGCTGAGAGGAATTATATTCATGTTAGGACCTTGGGATTGAGCTCCTCTCTGTTTTTTTTTTTTCTTCTCCCTCGCCTCCCCATCCTCTTTTAGGATTTATGGCATGCTTCCAAGGAGTAAAGCCATGTGAGGGCAGTTATTGAAAATATTTGACATTCCAGTCACAAATGAGCCAATAAATACTTTCTCCACATGTGCTTCAAAAAGGAAACTGAACTGGAATAGAAGGGAACAAAATGTTACTCTCTCTCCGTCTCCCAGCCAAAATGTCTGCACATACAATGGCCACCTTCAAATTTGCAGCTCTAATGGCACAATGCTGTTTCCCTTATGGTTCTGCTTACTGGGTGTCTCCCCTTCCCATACCCATACCTACCAAATAACAACAAAAGGGGTTTCTTAACTACCATTACTTCCACACATTTTTCAGCAAACCAAAAACAGACGCTAAATGTAATCCAAGAGGCCAAATACTGTTCATTTTATATTTATGAAGTCTATGACCTTGCCCTCCACTGCAAATTCCTCTTTTGTTTAGTGGTGTTGATTTATATAAGTGAGTAAACAAGTGCAGAATTCCATTAAAATGTGAAGTTCTGGAGAAAAGAAAACAGCAATCCTGCCAAGAAGGAATAGTCTCTTATTTCACATTGACCTCACTTCTCTTCCTTACCTTTCAGTCCCTTTCTCCTGAGTAACATGGTATTGCAAAGGCGTCAACCGCTTCCTCAGTTCTTCCTGGGGAAAGGCCACCTTACAGCTCTTTTTATTCCTACATGACCCTGCAAAGGAAGAAGATATGGGTGAAAGAATCCCCTTTTAGTTCAAATCCTTAATAATTGCTTTGGCTGTGAGCCAAAAACACGGGTTCAGCATTCCTTTTTCCCAATGGCTAGATTGGATCCTAATGCATCAAAGAGTGGCAGAGCTGATTGCGTCTTCCAATCCAACTTGGAGAAGTCTGCTGTGCACAAGGCAGGTGTCTCTACTGGAATGGCAATAATGTGAGTCAGCCAAAGCTTTCCCTACGCAGGAAAAAGGTCACAACCATTGGCAAAATAACTACATTCACATATCCTTCACAGGAAGGTGTACGTCCTGAGCCTAAACAAGTTCAATCATAGCTTCTGGATAATTATACTTAAGCGTGCAGCTTGAATATTTACAAAACATCTGTACTGTAGAGGAAAGTTAGTGGGCATATTATGTTTAAGCACAATTCAAGATAACTTGTTCATCTTACAATTGTTTCTGAAGATTGTGCAAGAGATAAATGCTTTAATCCACCATCACTCCACTGGTAAAGTGCAACAAGGAGTTGATCGATGTTTCATAAGATACCGTGACATACTTCCAAGTTCCCGACATTAAAAAATGGCTTATAGTGGTCTTCAGCTATATGAAACCTGTATTAAGAGTGCTCCCTGGTTAGAGCCTGAAAGGACTACTCTTTTTGGATAAAGGTGTCAGAATACACCATACATGGCACAGACTGGGTAATCATACTAAAATTATCTATTGTTTTGGCTGCCACAGAATCAATTAGCTCATTGCTTCTTAGGACTTCATCATAAGTGTCTTCACAAGTGTCCTAGAACACTTGCAGCACAGTTTATCCATAAAGCCCCACGCCTCCCAGTTAAAACACACTAACATCCAGCGGGGCTCCGTTAATCAATTGTGGCACAAGCATTCTAGGACACTCTGTTCAGAACATAGGAAGCTTCAATTGAGAACAATAGGGTCAGTGCAGGGTAAAGCTGTGCAGCGACGCTTCCTCACGTATGATGGGAAAGCATAGCTACAGGTTAGGTGGGGCACGAGGCACCGGGATTGCACAGTTGCCTTGAGGATTCACCAGAGCTTGGTGGATTGCCCCGAGCTTGGTGGATTGCCCCACGCTTCTTCATCAATGTGATGAGGTCCTTAAACTATCTGATATGGAGAATATCATGCCTGAGATCCACACCAAATTCATGATCATTCGATTAACTCTTCGTTGTATTGTCAAAGGCTTTCATGGCCAGAATCACTGGGTTGTTGTGAGTTTTCCGGGCTGTATGACCAAGTTCCAGAAGCATTCTCTCCTGATGTTTCAGGAGACCTCACAATCTCTGAGGATGTCTGCCATAGATGCAGGGGAAACATCAGGAGAGAATGCTTCTGGAACATGGCCATACAGCCTGGAAAACTAGTAACAACCCAGTAACTGTTTATTCTTTCCTGAAAACTCTCTAGAGCTCAGCAACCAATAGCATGTAGATTGGCATTGGCCCATATATCACTAAACTAAGTAGGACTGACTTAGGCCCCATCCACACTGAGCATTTAATGTAGTTCAGAGCCAGCTCCAAACTGTTATTGGCCAGACAACAAACTCCCACAACAGCGTACAAAAGAAAGCCCTTAATGTGAATCAGTGCTCTGTGGTTTGTGTCATCACCATCGAATTGGTTAAAAGATTTCTTATGCAATCATTTGCATTGTAAAACCACTTTTGCAACTGCATTAAATAGTCAATGTAGATGTGGTCTTTGATAGCCCCCCACAAACTGGTACTTGTTTACCTTTACAATCTTTTGTAGAGGAAGCACTTTAAAGATTGTGGTTATTGTAAAGATAGATATTACTGATACCTTTGTAAGTCTCTCCCTGTTAAACCAGCATGCACTTCAATCTATATTTGTTTGTGATATAAATGAAAGCATTCTCCACTTGGGCAAATTTAGTTTTTCTATTGAAAAAAAATGTAATGCTTCTTAAATGTATAATGCTGTTAAGGAAATTTCACTTCTATTAATCAACACACCCATACTTTAATCAAGAAATAATCCCCAGCAAAATGTCCTCAGAAGCACTTTAACTACTTGTTGGATTGCTCTCCCTTCATTTCTTTTAAAACCCTCCTATCAGATATATCCCACCTCTGTTCATGCCCAGCGTTTATTTTTTAAATTTTAAACTATTACGTTTGGCCCAGCCATAGGTTTTTTAAATCCTTGTGTGTTACTGTTTATATGTGAGTTATATTAATTGTATTGTTTTTGCTTATTGTTTTTGTTTTATTGATGTGTTGTCGGGCATGGCCTCATGTAAGCCGCTCTGAGCCCCTTGAGGAGATGGTGGCAGGGTATAAATAAAGTGTTGTTGTTGTTGTTGTTGTTGTTGTTATCAGGGGCTATAATTTTCAACTTTAGATTTAAGTGCCTGGCATTTTAAAGAACATGTTTCCAATAAAATTCTATGGGAAACACCAGTTTTTGTTGGACAGGACACTGCTTATTGACCATTGTTTAGTCTTATACCATTGGAAAAGCTTAACATACACAAATTGAAAGTATTAACCTCCATGCACCAGGATTAAATAAGAACTTGTGTAAATTGAAGGATATTTTCCAAATAGATTAAGAATCAAAGAAAGGGCTGTAGGCATATGTATATATATATTCAAGTTGCTCATAGACATATGGCAACATAGGGTTTGCTATAGTATAATAAGAGGTGGTTCAGCCAGTTTCTTTCTAACTAATATTTGTTGATGGTTTCCCATCCAAGACTAACCAGGGCTGAATCTGCTTTAATTCAAAATCAGATGGGATCTGGGGCTTTCGGGATATTTCTGTGACTTGTTATGGGAGAATGACTTCTTACTGGAAATATTAAACTCTAGCTACAACTACAGTAGTGTTTAATATTCCCAGTAAGCCAATGTCCCTGTAATGGAAGAAATTTCATGTTTGTTTGTTTGTTTTTTCTGGATGAGGCAATCTTACAGTCAGAAATCTCTTCTGCTTCTCTGCCTCATGCCTTGTCATAGAATGTTTGTCCTATTCTAGAATGAAAAATGTGTTGCCTATTAGATTTCAAGAGCAAACAGAAATAAATTTGCTGGAATGTTCTTTTCTACCTTGTGTTTCGCTTGGGTTTTGTTTGTCTATTTCATTCTATTTGGGCGTTTTTAGTACAAGAAGGGGATGAAATTTGGGGACATAATTTATAACTGTGCAGGTGACAGTTCTGGAAAATGTCAACATGGTAGGTCTGATTCTGTGTGGATTTTGTAATAAAATACGATCCAGGGCTCTACGATGTAGGATCATATGTCTTCAAATGCCCATATTGGAACTATGGATGAATATCATGAATACCATTTATCGTTCCAAAAGTAACAAGAACATTCTGCTTCTCCATAAACCTATTGCTTTATGAGGGAAGGGCTTATGTTTTATCTGCAGCGTGTTCTTAGTATTAGTCTAACATTGCCGTTAGCTGCCTTGAATGGTGGCCAAGCTCCATAATTATGGTATAAAACTTTTTGCAGTAAACATAAACACATTTTCAAATGTTCAATTTTCTTTACACAGTATCCAGAAAATCAATTTTATCCTTACAACATCCCAGACTTTCTCTCTCTTGCTCTCTGTTTTTTTCTGTATCTATTTATTCTGTACAAAAGAACTATACATTCCTCCTGGTAGTAAATTAAAATCTGGCTGTTCATCAAGGTCTTTGGACCTCATTAATTCCCCTCAAATATGGTCTTTAAAATCTGTTTTTGACTCATTAAATTGTTTAATATGTTTCCAACTTACTTACATTATTTTATTATTTTAAACTGTTTAATGTTGTTTGTAAGCTACCCTGAGATCTTTTTGATTCAGGGTGGGGTGGTATTATTATTATTATTATTACTCATCACATTTATTCTGGAGTTTATCTATTTCTTTTGTTTATCTATTTCATCAGGTCATGAATTATTATAGTCTAATATGATTGCAGGAAAACACTAATTTTCTTTTAAGTTTTTATTGTATTTTTATGCCTCTTTCATGTATTTATGTGACTTCATTGATGTGTGCTTGTTTGTTATTATTTGCAAGTTCCCAATGAAGCAGTTAGTTGGGTGCGCAGGAATTATACTCAGTCTAGTCCGGGTCAATCAAGGGCTAGCTGAGCAAAATGCAGAGAAGCACAGGACTGCTCAATAGCCAGCCCTGAGATATCTGCAGGTTAGAAGTCCAGATACATGAGCTAGCAGGGAGTAAACAGAATAGACCAAAACACAATTAGGAGGAAAAGAGAGCTGCAGGCAACCAGATAAGATAGTTGCCTGCACTAAGGCTGCAAGAGAACTGCTGGGATAAGTATGACAATTCCTTAAAGATTACAGGTGCTGATCATTAGGTCATCGTCTATTATTTAACTGGAGCTTTGTGTGGTATTTCTCCCTCATTCACAGCAGAAAGGACAGAGAAATGCCATCTTCCACCTTTGTCAATATTTACTGAGGAGCAAGGTCTCCCACTTTCTCCATATCCTTGGATTCAGATAAATTTTCACTCATGGAATGCTTTCCTTCAAACACAAGGATAGCATGAAATTTGTTGCTGAAATATAAAGTCGTGTATTTTAAAATATATTTGGCAAAAGTATGATAGCTGGGACCCAGTGCTGGAAGCGCTACGCTGGTTGCGCAACACGGCTCTGAACTAGAGAAGGGAACACATGAGCGAGACAGTGCACCGAATGAGAGACGCAGCTGCGGCAGGATACCAGTGAAGTAATGTAATGCAGGTGGGACAGGATAACAGTGAAGTAATGTCAGAGTGACTGGATTTGATTCATTTTTCACCACTGCTCGTATTTCTTCCCTCCTTTCTAACCTTCCTTCCAATGCAACAACGTTTTTGAACGCATTTGCATACGATCTCCAGATAGCCTATATCACTATGCTTGGCTGTTTCCCCTCCCCCTTTCTATTGGACTACCTTGTCGGCTCTGT